GGGTTGACTTAACCACCTTCGTGTGACCACGAGACTGATTTTGTCATTGAGGTTATCAGGTCTGAGGTAAGTCAAATGCTTTGCTGCTGAGGTATAACTAAGTCGTACTACGACCTAGCCAGCGCATGCTGAGTAGGTACGTCAAGCCTCACCTTGCTCGCTGATGGGGACCAGGCGGTACACCTTGTACGGTTCTGAGATGTCCAGCTGGGCTCGGTCCATCACTTCCTTAAACTCAGGACTCTTGTTGAGGGCGCAGCGCAGACGGGTCTTCCAAGCGGCCGGGTTGTCCTGGCCCCCGTCTGTCAGCTTCCCCTTGAACTCTGCCCACGCCTGGGGAGGACAACGATGGCGATCTCAGAGATTTAAAGCACACAGGATTTGTGGCATTTAAAGCAAATCTTGAGAATTTCAAGAGCTACCTTGAAGATCGCGGCGTCTTCGTCTTTGCGGAAGTCCTGTTTCCCCGCGTGCTTCCAGGGGATGCGGAACATGGTTTTGGCCTCGTCATCCCACACCAGCCCCGGATATTTGCCACTGCTGACCTGAAACAAACCAAAAAACACAGCAAAGTTAGAGAAGCTTATAGTTTTCCTGAATTTCACCTAAAGCTGAATAACTGCAGACATAAATCAGGGCTGCTAACCAGCCACCTCTTCTGCATGTCTTTGTAGAAAAAACACTTTTAGATTCACTAATACTGCAGAAAACACAACATCATCCACCTTTAAAGCAAAAATATGCAAACTTTAGTGTTCTGAAATGATCAAATCTGACAATTGTGTTGTTTTTTTTATTTTTTTGTGTCACCGTAAATTATTTATATCTTTACTTTGGGGGAATTTGACCTGTCTCTCCTGGTTCTGATGGGGGTGTTCTTCCTGTTAAAAGGGAGTTTTTTCTTCCCACTGTTGCCAAGTGCTTGCTCAAAGGGGGTCATTTGTTTGTTGTGGTTGTCTCTGTATTATTGTTTACAATATAAACCAACATGAGGCGACTGATGTTGTGATTTGGCACTATATATCTATCTATCTATCTATCTATCTATCTATCTATCTATATATATATATATATATATATATAAATAAAATTGAACTGAGCATTTTTATTAGTGGACTCTACTAAAGTAGCTTTGCATTAACAGTTCAGAATAATCCATATCTCATATCGGGCCTTGATGCGCCCCATTAATTCATCCTATCTGTAACTAGCCATTTTAGCTCTCTCCAGGCTAACTCTCTTCTGATTTGCTCTCTGTGACCTCATAAAGCTCCAAGAGTGGAAGGAACTGCCTGAAGCTGAGTGTTTAAAGCTACAGTGAAGTTTGCACTTGCACTGATTTCACTTATATATGTCAGAAAACAAGAAAAAGCAGAACACATTCACATAATCGGAGCAATATCTGTTTATTTCTTAACCAACTAATCTAAAAAATATAAACTTGATGAAAGTGCAGCTGAGCTCAACTTCAGCTGATATCACTTCTAAACAATACACAGAATTTTGTGGCCTAAAGTCAAAATCAGCTATTTCCTGATATTCAGTTTATGACTTTAGTTCATTTTTAAGGGTTTAAACTGTTTTATAAAAATAAAAAGTAGCAATAAGCACCTATAACACATTTATATGATAGTAGAAACAGAAAAGTGCATTTTTCCACAGCTGACCTACAATTTGCTTAAGCAGATTATGCAATTGCAGCTGATTTTCTAACAAGAGAAAAGTTAAACTTTTGCTGGTGTCATTTTCAGCCCCATAGTTATGAATATATGTTTGTTAGTGACCTCCCAATCACCCTTTTCCTCTTCCTGTTTCCCTTTCCTCCCACCCCACTCTTTCATTTGTCCTTACCCTCTCCCTGTCTCCCTCTCACACTCATGCACACACACACATACACAGCCACACACACCTGCTCGACGATCCAGGAGCGCAGTCTGCGGGTGGAGCGCATTCTCCCAGCTGCCATCGCTGCTTCTTTAAAAATGCTGTAAACACCGCAAAGTTTCAGGGCCAGCGGCAAAACATCAACACAAACAACTTCGATCAACTGCCCCGACATGCCCTCTTACACCCACCCCGCCTCACATTTTTTAATAATAGCACAGCTTCACTCTGGGCACATCAAAAACATCCAATATTAGACATAAGAAATGTGTAAAAATATGAATAAACGTCGATTTGCTTTCGCGTAAAAAGCCAAGTTCAAGCCTCGTGTTCAAGCCGGGTCTTTAAACAGAGCCGACACACATTAAAAAAGAAAAGAAAGACAATGACTTTCTAAAATTAGGTCTTTTTTAAATGGAGTCTGGTCTGGAAACAACAAAGCAGCTGCAAACATCCTCCCACCGCCGCATGTTATATTTATAAAAAATCAAATATAGACGCTAAGGTGTTAAATTAAGGAAGTTGATTTGAGTTTCGTTTACCTCGGTTGTGTTTCCTCCGCGGTGCCTGCGGACTGACTGTCTTCTCCTCCTCAGTTCTGCGGCTCAGTCTATGAAGGCGCTCCTTTTCCCCGAAGTCACGTGGTTTTAGAGAAAAGCTCTGCTAGCCTGACACCAGGGGGCGAAAGTGAGCACACACAGAGACACAGTCAGGTCCATGAGTATGTGCACAGTGGAGAGTGGAGATGTGACCGAAGTGCAGACTTTCACCTTTCATTCAAGGGGATTGGAATAAATATTCCATTACCTGTTTAGGAATGACATTCAAAGGCTCTAAAATAATTGGACGATAAGTACGAAGCAGATTCATGGCCAGGTAAGGCCTTGTTCCTCATTGCTGCATGATAAATAAAGCAGATATATGAGCTGGAAATGAACTAACCAGCCAGGAACACGCAAATATCCAATCAGCCAATCACGTGGCAGCAGCTCGGTGCATTTGGGCATGTGGACACAGCCAAGACAACCTGCTGAAGTTCAAACCAAGCAAAAGATCAATAAAGAAAGGTGATTTAAGTGACTTTGAATGTGGCATGATTGTTAGCTTGAGTATTTCAGAAACTGCTCATGTGATGGGATTTTATCACATAACCATCTCTAGTGCTTACAGAAAATGATCCAAAGA